ATATATATATATATATATATATATATATATATATATATATATATATATATATATATATATATATATATATATATCCCAATTTTGGCTCGGATCACTTTCTAGAGTTTGGCGCTCCGGTCGACGCCGGCCGGCCCGATGCAAAACCCTAACCCCTCCGTAAGACAAATTTGTCCTCCTCCCCCGCTAAAAATTTCACGATGACACCTCCGAGTTCTTCACATGATGACCTCATGAGACGAGATCGGTTCAAAGGATAGGGGTATAATAGTCAAATAGCAGAGCAATATAAGTTGCCCTAACGAAGTCCACTTCTAGTTTCTTCTTCTCCAAGCTGCACTCCCCGCCTCGCGTCGCGTCGTCCCCTCTTCCTTATACCAGGCCACACGCGCCGCTTCCAGAACTCTAGAATTGATCGGTCGCTGCCCTTCGTCTCGAATCCATGGGTTCTAGGGTTCTCTCTCGGGCTTCGAGGGGTGGCATCGCCCGTCTCTTCGTCTCGGCTTATTCGCGCAGGGAGCCGCCGGTTGGTGGCTTCCATTCCCTGAGGGAATCCGCTGCAGGTTCCGTTATAAAGGTGAGCTTCGTTGATTCTTCGTAGTTTATTGTTCCTGATTGCTGCTCCGATGCAGATAAAGATTTGGATCTTTACATATCGTGTCGTAGATTAGTCTTTTTCTTGCTTTATGGCTCTGATTTCGAACCCTAACAATTTTCTTTGAGTTTCTTTATGGTTTGGTGATGGATGCTTTAGTAATCTTCTAAGTTGGTACTTGTTGGTTGTGTCTAGTTCGAGGGTTTTATACAAGTGTTGGATATTCTTGGAGGTTTGTGTGATTCGTGCTTCCAATACCATGTTGTTACCTTTGAGGTTTCACTAAACATCTAATTAAAGTATCATGTTAGGTGGAAGAAATTTCCATTGAAAATGTTTCTTAGACATCAAAGACATCAAGAATGCCAAAGAGTGTGGTACAATAGTAAGATTGTTCCTTTGCAATTTGGGAGATAGTCACTTTAAATACTTAAAAGATAAGACGGCGGACATTGACCCTCTCTAGACCCCATATTGGCGAAATTCTCGGGCACTGGATACGCCCTTTCTTCACATCGAGAAAGCCAAGTCCTGGTTGGTGTCGTCCCTACCTTCGTGGGGCGGTGCTGTACTCGGTCGTCACCGTCCCGGCCTTTGTGGGGCGGTGCTGTATTTGGTCGGTGCCATCCCGACCTTTGCGGGATGACACTGTACTTGGTCGGCGTCGTCCCGACCTTTGCGGGACGGCGCTGTACTTGGTCGACGTGGTCAGTTATGTTGACCCTGGTGCTGATGTGGCTGTGAATAGTAGTTGGAGGACAGGTTACCAAAATGTGCCCTATCAAATAGTAAGATTGTTCCTTTGCGATTTGGGAGATAGTCTCTTTAAATACTTAAAGATGAGACGGCGGACATTCACCCTCCCTAGACCCCATATTGGCGGAAGCCTCGTGCACTGGACACGCCCTTTCTTCACATCAAGTAAGCCAAGTCTGATGATAAAGCTACCTATTAACTGCTAGTTTTGTTGGGTTGATGACTAATTAATGGCTCCGCAATGTGTTCATTAAAGAGAAAGAAAGGATCATCATCTGTTGATCTTGTTGGCTTAATGACTAATTGTTATTTGATTGATCAGGTTAATTTGTCACACGATCAAGGAAACTTAGCCTTAAGGCCACAACTATTTGGGAAATTTGCATTAAGCTCTGCTTGGAGAATCATCAACGATCAAATTAAGAGGAATAGTATCTCTTTTAAGCATTTATGATAATGTTTATTGTGGTAGATGCTAAAATGTATCGAGTCCTTGGTGTCTGCTGTTTAGGTCAAGATATTTGACACAGAGAGTAAGCCTTTTGTTCTTTTAGACGTTGAATTGGTCCTATATATGTTCTTTTAAACAAATGACTGGTGCTACAATATGAGCAAAGGAAAGTCTACAATCTTATGCATCTCAGATTGTTAATCCTTTGGAATATGTAGCTAATGTTGTAACATCCCCAACTGTAATCCCACATGGATAAAGACATTTTGGGCCATTTGGTTCTAGGTCTATCAAGCGAGGGACAACCTAGTGAGTCAGATCGTGGCAAGTATTGTCAAAGCAGACTTGGTAATACCCGAGTAGAAAAGGATAATCTGTGAATAGGACTGGAGGTACATCACCTCGTGAAGTCACAATTGGATCAGATCTCACATATACTATGGTAGCACTCCCAAAGTTTTGTTCAACATCAAAAGCGGAGAAGACTTGAATTCTCTTATAAAGTATTTGATGAGTTTATGGCCGTTAACATGGCCTAAGCATTTTGGGTGACATGGTTTTAGATCTATCAAGTTAATATAGTTATCCCCTCGAGTCAGGTTATGACAAATTGGACTTTACAGAGCTGGTCGATGTGCAGATTAAATTTTTACAGTTTCTTATGTGTTATTCTTGAATCTTACTTCTCTACTAGAATATTGTTACATATTTGTACTTGTAATTTATTAGTTCAGGAAGTGAGTGGTGGCAGAATTGCTACTGGAACTGCAATGGTCTGTACTGTCTTACTTAGTTCCTTGGTCGAGGCAGGCCCGAAGTTGTTGGTCTGAGATTCAGTCATTGTCCCTGCATCGCTAACAACTCACTATTTTATAATCGAACGAAGCAAAAAATATTGACAACACGATTTATGAATGTAGGGGTATTGGATATCTGTTATCACATAAAGTTTAAACTTACTGCAACAAACATGTGGTGTATTTTCTCGTTCTTCTAGATGAAGTAGCTTATTGAATAATAACCACAATTACAGCTGCAACTTCTCCTGCTCAAAGCTACTGTGATATAATATGTGTCGGTCTTGACCTCAATGGTTATGTTGATGGCAATAGAATGGAAGTTGTCATCTTTTAGACTTTCTTTATATATTCTTGATAGCTTGCAAATATAACAATTGTATCTTGCTTATGCATTTTTCCTATTCCAGTATGTTCCTTTTCAGCGGAGTCAGTTGTTGAGACAATCAATTCTCACAAATACTACACTCCAAAGATTTGGGTACTCGTCATCTGCATCTCCTCAGCCAAATCAATCAGTGGATCATGACAATGATTCAGAGAATACTTCAGAAGTTGGAAACAGAACCGATGCTGATGAATTTTCTGGTATTTTTTTCTTCTCAAAAACAGGAAAATGATACATTTCTTAGTTCGGAATTTAGAGGTTCTGTGACTGACTTTTGGTAGAAAGAGGAGGATATGCTCTGAACGAACTGCTTTTTCTGATTCAGATGAAAAACCTGAACTTTCATTCGATGAACTCGTTAAGCTCGTAGCAGAAAAGGAAGAATTACTGAGGTTGAAGCACAAAGAAATTGAGAAAATGCAAGATAAAGTTCTACGCAGCTATGCTGAAATGGAGAATGTCATGGACAGAACAAAACGTGAGGCAGAAAACGCAAAGAAATTTGCCATTCAGGTCTATCCTGTTATTCATTTCACCATCATAGAATACATAGCTTAATAATATATTCTATGTGCTTCTTCGAGTAGATCTTTTATCTGACCTTATTTGGTATACATTAAATTACTTAGAACTTCGCTAAGAGCCTTTTGGACGTCGCTGACAATCTGGGAAGGGCTTCATCTGTTGTCAAGGAAAGTTTCTCCAAAATTGATGCTTCCAAAGACACTGTTGGAGCTGTGCCGCTACTTAAAACTTTACTTGAGGGTGTTGAAATGACAGAAAAACAGCTTTCGGAAGTACGTGTTTCTCCCCTTCTTAGTCAATGACACCATTCTTTGTTCGTCCATTTTTTTTATATGGTTTCTGGAGGCATAAACTACAAACCAAATTTAACCTTTTGATCTTACTTGGTCGGAGTTTGGAAATCTTTTAACATCACATGTCAGTGACGTACAAAATTCCATTTAGTTATAAGTTTGTCATATTTGATGTTGCACTCACTCAATAGTGAATCGATCATCATCATTCATAATAAATATATAATGGAACATATATTTTTAGATAATTCCTGCCCAGACATGGAGTAAACAGATACAGTGACTTACTGCTTTGATGTGACCCATGTGGAATTGAATGCTTAGAATTTGATACTGGAAGGTGCATGTGTCTAGGAACAGTTTTCCTTCCATGTAAAGTGGAGATGCAAGATTCAAATAGCTAGAGATGAAGTATGTTTGTCTTTTCCTTCCACATAAGGAGCATGCATTGTTCGTCTGAATTAGTATTCTCTACATTTTTTATACTGTACATGCTAAAAATCACGGTTGCTATTATTTGCTGTAGCAATAGTTATCACATGTTGCTTCACCTCCATCGTATGAAATTAAACATTTGGTTCCTCAAAAGCTTGTCATGCTCCTGTTTCCAGGTCTTCAGAAAGTTTGGAGTGGAGAAATTTGATCCAATAAATGAGCAGTTTGATCCGCACAGACATCTCGCAGTTTTCCAAATACCAGATGCTTCAAAACCACCTGCCACCGTTGCAGCTGTTTTGAAGGTGATATGTCACTTTTCTGTTTTTAGTGAATAGAACATATCATAATTTAGTGTCATTGTTTAACTTGGTGTGTAATTTTATTGAATTTTTATATGTTTCACTTGTGGTTTCAGTCGGGTTATACGCTACACGATCGTGTGATTCGCCCAGCCGAAGTTGGCGTAACTCAATCTCTTACTAATGAGCCAGCCGAGGGTTCCAATGGGCAAGCCTAGTAGTAGTCATGCCATGGTATTCTTCGCTCGCTGCTTCGGGTTGAAGTTGGGTGTAACTTGAGCTTTGAATAATGAGAAAGGGACTTTAAATGTCGCAAGTGAGTTTAGGAGTCTGTGATTTGAATGTTGTTGTACAATCCTCTGACCCATAGGTTTAATTTGATTACACACACCGGAATCAGTAAGCAGAAAGGGAGTTGGTGTGTTGATCGGATTTTGTTTTGGGAATTAGATCAAACTAAATTCAAGAAGAAATTTATAGTGCAATTTTCTTTTCTCCGGAACAATATATTTTAGCCTGCTCCAGTTATTAATGCTGCATTAATGTGTGAGTTGCATTAATGTTTTCCTAATAAGCATCATTTCTTTAATGTTTTACGTGCATCACTTCTTTGAGTTGCATTAATGGAAATTATATCTATGCATGTGAATTTAACGGACGGTTTGCAGTTTCTGCATGATTTTATCGTTGAAGTAAACATTCAAAAGATGTAGTAGTCAACGTTTACCTCTGTGCATTTGATCTCCGTCTGTTTCATTTCAGAGGATAAATCTCCCAACTGCAAATTTAAAAGCGAATTAATATTAGGCTACGACTTGACAATATGCGATGAGCTTGCCACACTATTTATTAGCAATAAACAAGAACTCAAAAGGTTAACAACGCAGATCATTCCATTTATTTTAATCAAAGGTCACACACTATGCAAAGTAATAGAATAGGTTTCTAAACCATCCATCTTAGGACATGTAAAGTCATGCTTCCATGAACCTTTGCTTAGCACCACAAATAGTAGATAGAGAATGGGCATACCGGCAACTGAACAATTCAAAGAATCCGTGACGACCGTTGGCTTTGTTTATAATTGAATCTTCCCGGCCAAGTACCACGAGTGCATGGCAAGGCTGCCGAATGCCATGATGTTGGCTAGTGAAGACAAGCCATGAATCATTCCAAATTTCTTGTTCATAGCTGCGAGTTGCGGATTCGTTTTTGCCACTTCCATGTTTTTCGACCATCCAATTTCTTCACCAATGCTTAGATCTCTCTCAACTTTGTGCCGCTTTTTCATCATCTGCTCAAGAAAGAAAAGAAATGTACATCACTTAATATAAACCATGAAGACAATAATTTCCCCTTATTAGTCATATGAGATTTCACAACCCTAACATCATGTGATCTTTAAATTCATCAAGCACTACCAATCTCTCAAAAATCTTGACCATAAACCCTAATCCCAACTTGTTGGCACCAGACTTTGATGTTTGTGGACCGTGACACGATAATAAGGCACATTCTATCAAAAGACAAAAAGTCTAAAATCTATACATAACAATAAAATTTATTATTTGCAATTCATCTCCCAAAGAAGAGATATCTAAACCAAATATTGGGACAAATTAACTGCAGTAATGCTGTACTAGTCATTTGACATAATTAGCTGCAGAGTTTTTGCATAAACTACACTTTGGGGGGATCCAAGTGTGCGGCTTTCAGTGCAGAAGTCACATACGTATACAAGTGGCTATTATGTTCTCAGCATAGTTTAGCGATGATAGAGAACATCACATCACGTGCCGTGCCCCTCTAGATTGTAAATAAGACATAGTTTAGGAATTTTTTTTTATTTCACCTAAAGCAACTTTGAGTGTAAGGATATTCACAACTATATTTTGTGATAATTCACCAAACAAATACAACTCCCTCTGTTCGCTTTAGTAGTGGTGAAAATAAGAGCTAAGGATTTGTCTCTCCTAGCTAGATCTTTTTAACCAATAATAATAACATTCAAGGTGATTTGACCATGTAAAATATCAGACTTATTTAAGAAACTTAATGCTCGTCGTTTCTCACAGTATGGAACAGTAAACAACAAGCTATACAAGCATAGGTATGAGCATGAACCCTTTTTCTTCTAACCCAAACATGCTTTGACAATGCAATTACTATTTTCAATCAGCCTCTTATGTCATTGCTAGCTTTCTCCTTGCTTAACTAAATCAATTCTAAACAAATACCAACCTGGACCCATACCACCAATGCTTTTCAATCACAGGAAAGAATCTCAAATGGGTACATTTCACAATCTCATCAGGAGAGTCGAATCATGACAACAATATTTCATCATGTAACTGTAAAAGCACAAGCATAAATCAGTGGAAGAAAAAAGAAGTTCAGTAAACAGGCAATGAGATAAAGAACAACCACACACCTGTAAGTTCTCTCACTTTTTTTGAGGTTAGCTCACCATTGAATTCTAACAATCAGCAATATAACCAACCAAACAGAATAACTATCAATTATTTCATACTTTTTAGTAAAGAATATAAGAATAATGTTCATCTAATTCTGCAAGCAAAAAAGAAATGGCATATCTTAAACAGCAAGCCCAAAATCCCAAACCAGCTTGGCAATGGGGAGAAACAAATGGCTTCAAGTAAGAAAAATTGTCGAGACATTGCGGACTAAATGACTGAATTACCTCAATGGTCATCGGAGTGAAGACGATCAGGTTGGAGAGGTCGAAGCCGAGCGCAGAAAGGAGGAACCCGAGCTGATACTTGTCGATGGATGAAGCCGACCTCCACGGATGGAGATAGGCGAACGCCGCTACCGAAACCGCCGCGCAAACAGACACCACCGTGAAGTACGCTGGAAACATCTTGCTCTGAAGATTTCCGAACTGATGCCTCGGCAGATTTCTGCAAGACCAGACCGATTCCTACGCTTATTCCACAAAATCCAGTTCAATTTCCAAACCACAAGTAATAGCAATCAAACTCTTAGCGAATTACTTGAACATGATGATGCCACCGATGAAGGTGACCCACAGTGCGGCGCCCCAGGCGGTGGCGAAGGCGAGGAGGTGGCAGAGCTTGACGGCGGTGATGGCGCCCGCGGGGGATTCCGGCCCCGAGCCGAGGACGTCCGGCGCGAAGACGACGCCGACCGCGAGGAACGCCACCGCCGTAAGGAAGCGGGTCGACCACGACATTGGACCGCTCGGGGAGGAAGCGAGAGAGAGAGAAATCTAGGGTTAGGGTTCTAGCGGACGGATCGGTAGGTCCTTGAGGCGAGGAGGACGGCAGACGTTGCTTATCAAGCAGCCACCCATAACGAACGGAGAACGGCCCATTCGGTTAGGGGGTAATGTGATGGGCGACCGAAATTACGATTGTGCCACAGAAATTACAAAATGAAAATGATTTTTTATTTTTACAAAAATAAGTGACGAAGTTTGAATTTAATAACCTTTCACCGAGTTAACTGATATCCCTTAAACATTAATTGAATATGATTACGAACTCAGTAAATAAGTCATGTACATTATTATCATGATAATAATAATCATTAATGTATAATCATTTTTTCCTACACAAACACTGTTGACCTCATGAATTCTTTTTCATCGTTGTCGATGTTGTTTTAAACATTAAGAATGATAAAGGAAAACCATATAATTTTAAACCATGTATCAGTTTCTGACTTGCAAGTGTCACAAATCCAGACTTGAATCAGATATTGAAGTTTCAGAGACTTCGTCATCGGTTTATGCATATGCAACGGGGAAGGTTATGCAGTGCTGGATTCAGTATCAGTATCTGTCACCTCAGAATTAAATTTTAACTATACAAATGAAAATTAAATTTTAACTATATTAAAAAGATTCACACGAGACTTTGCAGAGTATTGACTTTACAGTTAAAGATTCACATGAAAGAACCAAAAAAAAATGCTAAGAGAGCGCTTACTGTCATTCTGCAGGGGAAAGACATCCATTTTGAAAAACATAGTATAACTATAAGAAAAAAAAATTCATGGTTCACTCAGATAAAATAATCGAGGGAGACGGCATTGGAATCAAGCTGCCAAAGCACATGAAGAGGAGCGACTGCTCCAGCAGTGCTTGAAAGCTATAACAATATTCATAACCTCTCCATCTTCCATCAAGTCACATTTAAAACATTAGGGAACATAAACCAGTTGTTAATTCATGTTTTACTCTACTGGATCAAGAACATCTCTAAAAGTTCAGGTTTGGTGACACAAATATAGCTAGAGAAAGAAAACATGATGTGTTCTCTCCAAGAGATGGTTTTCTAGAGAAATAAAATTGTCTAAAAAACTAAAGCTCATGAAAGTTGTAGCAGACGCTGGCAGCTTTCATCTAAAGCTCATCCTGAAACACAAGGAGAATTTATTAACACAGACAACTATACAGCTGCAACAATTGGTGTTGAATGAAAAATAAGAAAGATCAAAGAAAATCTTACGTGAGAAGTCTCCTTGTCTTCCTCGGTGTCTGAATCAGACTTTGAATCGGCATCTTCTGCATCATCAGCATCTTCTTCCTGTCCAGAAAATGAAAAGCAAGTCAAATGATACATTGGAACAGAAGGAACAAAAGATCTAAAAACCCCCATTTAAGTATTATCATTTAAGAGCTTACATCTCCGTCTGATTCATCATTCTTGGTTTCCTGTCACAAGATAATGAACATAATTTCTTTAGAAAGATATTGTACAAATAAAATTTAATAACTTAATGTGAAAGCTAGCTTAGCAGATAGAAAATGAGTTTCGAGTGACATAACAACATGTGAAAGCCAACTTAGACAAGAACATCAGCTAGAAAAGAGTTTCAATTGAGATGAAAGGGCATATGACTTAAGATCAATATAAACTGCTAAATATGCACATATATTGTTGATAAAATGGGAAAAGCATGCATGTATATATATACTGATGCCCATATGTGGCATCAGTTTATATTGTGAAAAAGAGCACATATGAGAACACACACACACACACATAGCTTATTAGGTTATTAATGATTGAAACCAAATTAGTTTGTGGAAAAGAGCAATCAAGAATTAGTTACAGACAAAATTACATCACAAAACAAAATAGGTCCCTGCAGTGACAACTTATAAAAACAACACAGCCTGTATAACTAACACAAATAACATAAGAAAACAAAATTAATTGTTTCAGCAATCTATATCAAGAAACTAATAGAAAGGCAATTTTTCTTCAATTAATTATATAAGCTGAGATTCTCATCAGTTTTCCGAAATGCCAGCATACCTCTTCTAACTTCTTTTTCTCAGCCTCATCAAATGCAGCCTTTTCGGCCTGCAAGAGCAAACAAACTGAATTTAGCAGTCACAATCCTATAAGATCTCATCAACTAAAATTTTGAAAGACCTACATCCTTAAGCTTGGCCCATGTTTCTTCAGCAAATTTCTTGGCATACTCAGGGTCATCACAAACCAAAATGTTGTCAAACAGAGACCCAGATTTAACCTGAAAAGTTTTTAAAAGCTTTAATCATAAACTCGGAATATAAAAACTAAACCCAAGTGAGTCAAAGAATAGATCTACCTGCCATAGCTCAATGCCTACATATCTCAAATTGGGGTAAACATAGATGTATGGATCATCCTTGAAATCTGCGGGTAAACTGAAGTTGTAACTCCAACTGAATGATTAGGTAGAGAATAATCAAGTCCAGATAGCAAAAGATCGTATGCATCATACCCGGATTGTCGATCATTGGTGCCTTCCACTTCCCTTTGTAATTAGGATTCTTGATTTTCTATACAGAAACAAAAGTAAATACTTATATTTTTTGCTCATGATCTAATGCATATCATGCTTTGAAAAAGTATACTCTAAAGACCTTCTGTTTCCAGGGTCCCTTGTATTCAGGGTTCGGAATGGTTGGGGATGTCCATTCACCATCTTCTTCATCATCCCAATCCTCTGGCTGTAAAAATGCGTATAATATTTATGCACTGGCAAGTAGTGAGAGTACAAGAGCCAAAATTAAAACTTCCTAAAAGCACTAAAAGATGTACCTTTTTAGCATCAGGATCAGGAATCTCCTTGGGAATGTCATCATACCCCTTGATCAATAACGTTAAGTCAGTTTAACATCAAATCTAACAAAAAGCACAATGGTGGAATATCATGATTGACTTAGCTTGCATGCAACAAAAGCAACATCTTACACTGTCCTTACATAAGTTGAGATGACAACATGAATTGCTTGCCAAATATACACTTATGGATGTTGATTTGAAAAAAATTAGGCACTTCAGAAGAAAAAATCATACGTATGGAAAGGTAATAAAAAGAAAAGATATTTACTAACTTTTTTGCAAGCTATTCAACAGCAAAGTGCAAAGCTATTCAACGGCTCCATTGAGCAACAAGTGAAAAACAAAATAAACAACACATAGTTATCTCCCATACAATAAAGAATTACGAAAAAACAAACTGTGGTACTATGCTGCATCATCATCGCCCAAACAAAATGAAATCACAAAGAAAAAACATTTCAACTGATGGTCAACTGAAATTACCTCTGGTTTCTTGTCCTCAGGGTCAGGGATATACTCCTTGTCATCCCAATCTTCAGGCTGTTACACAGCACAATCAGATCGAATAGCTATATTATGCAATCAAATCACAAACTCCAAAATGGATAATGATTTGCTATCACAGGATGAATTACCTTCTTGGCATCAGGATCCTTAATTTGCTTTGGAGGAAGAATATCCCAGTCACTATATAAGCTACCAGTTTGTTTCTCATTGTTATCAACTAGGATGCTGTATGTGGCATCAGGGCGAATAATGAAAGTGTAAACATGAGTTAGCTGGTCAGTCTCACATGAAACATCTTTCTTGATCAAGTGGTTCTTTCCGTCACGTGAGAAGATAGCATGAACCTTTTTGGTGCTGTACCCACAGATATCAGGCCCAAACATAATACTGCAATTTCCAAAAGCAGACTTTAAGTTGGATTACCAACAAGGAAAAGAGGTAAGAAGGGTCCAGTGTCAATTACTACACAGAGGCCACCAAAAAAGGTGCTGCGTACCTATAGGGGGTATCTCCACCAAATTTCTTCTGATCAATTTCACCACTGAGCAGCTTAATGTAGCCACCTCCGCAGTCAAGTTTCTGTTCATGTTTAACTGAAAATTGCAGAACTACCGTCTTCTCCTTGTTGCTGAACTCAGGAAACTCTGCCGAAATGGCATAGAACCTGAAGTCCTCCGCAGTTTGGATGCCTGCAGATAAAAAAATCATTAGCCGAGAGCTTACTGCTGCAACAAAGGATTACGATTTTCTTACAATAGAATTAAGCATTGGACAACAAATCTGCGACAAGGATCGTATAATGATAATTATTATCTGTAGAGAAATACCTTTGTCTTCAGAATCGCCAGTCCATTTACCAGAGGTATGGTTCCAGTCGCCTGCCATGTTCTCGTCCTTCTTCCAATCGGATTTGACCCATCGATTCTCCCATCCATCTATAAATACAAAAGATATTTGTAGAAATTAGCCAATCAAACATTGCAAACATCCATCATTTTATCCCTTTGTGATCGTTGTGTGCTTATTTCTCATAAACATAAACCTAATTTTATTCCAAATCCTGCTGTTCTACATAAAATAAGTAAAGACAGCCAGCAATAATAATTCAAAAAAGTTGCCGTAATGCAATCTGACCGGTCGGTCACATGACATGACATGAAAGATTTAATGCGAACACACAAATGGCAAACATTGTCAGCAAATTAACGACGATAATGACCTTCATGGAAAACCGGTATGTAAACAGTAAAAATCTAACAGGACCATCTAAAACCCTTTATTTTACAAAAGCGGGGAAAATAGTACAAATCAACAGAAAGAACCATTGCAGCATCAAAATCCAGGAGAAAGATACAACATCAGAAAAAGCTAACGTAAAGGCTCCATCAACTCCGCTTCGAATGACGCATCACAGATAATGCATCAATCAATCATAGGTAAACCCAACATTTAATTTCATGAACCAAAACATGTACGAGGAAAATGGTCGAAAATCCAGACGTGTTCTCGTTCGCCGGATCGACGCGAACCATTACAGATCGGTAAATGGAGAGATCGCGTCAAAGTAAACGAACATACGACAAGAAATCAAAATGCGGATCGTTATCAACTGTAGAAAGACCAGACCAGAGAACAGATCTGAAGTGAGATCGGTGCCCATACCTCCGAACCGCTCCTCGAAGTAGACCTCGGCGGAGGCGATGGATGAGACGGCAAGCAGCACCGCGAGGGCCAACGCGAGAGGAGGCCTCCTCCGGATCGCCATTTCGAACTCTCTCTGTTAATCTTCAGATCGGGACGAAAGATGAGAGGTTATAAGATAAATAGAGGAAAAAAATCGAGTACAACAACTTGTCGGTATCCTTACCGCACGCTGCAGTGTACCAACCATGCTCTCCGGAAGGGATTCTGGCCAATGGCGTGTCGCCACGCATGCAAATCGACGTGTTAGGCCGGCCACGGAGAACACCGAGAGTGGTTGGGCTGCTTCGTTTCGAACGATTTGAAATCCGAGGACTAATTGGGGAAAAAGTGGGAACGTAGTTGTCCACCAACTTTAGCATATTTACATCGCAGCCAATTAAATTTTCCCTTATATGGCATTTGCAGGTGTCCTTCGAGAGCAACACACAAATTTACGACGAAATCGAAGGGTATTTTGGGCAGGACACAAACAAATTTGGAAGGTGAAAGGTTGAGATAAGAATGCGTTTTGGAGGATTTATTGGAGATTTTGATTACTTTTAGAGATTCTGGAAAGTTCCAACGGGAGATCAAATCATGATCGCGATTGATTGCTTTGAGAAGCACGCAGAAATTTATTTTTGGTGTGATGTCTGTAAGATTCGTGCTTTATCGCACGTCTCTTGTTCGAGTATTGTTGTGGGTGTCAATGAGAGGGTCTTCGAACCAATTCGGATGGAATTTTGTTTAATTATATTCAATTAAATTAAGATAATTTAAACCGAAATTAATTTTGATATATTTAATCGAACTGATTCAAAATCAGTTAATTCGGTTTAATTAATCCGTTAATTAATTTATAATTTTAAATAATTAAAAAATATATATTTCTAAATAAATAAATCCAATTCAATTGAGCCGAATCATAATCTTAGTTTAATTTAATTTAATAATATGATAAAATTTATAAATTTGAGTTCACATTATTAATCAGTTTTAATTGATTAAGGGCTCATGAAGTCCAATTCAATAGGATTGATATTATTTAAGTTAAAATCAATTTGTTTCAGTTCAAATCCATTAATCAAACATTTCATTCAACTTTTTTCTAATTCCATCTAAATACCCCTAGTAACTAATGTAATTTTTTTATTATATAACAATCATTAATGAATGATTAAATTGTTTAACAATAAATCATCTTCTAACGCTTTGATTACTTTATATATATATACATATGTATGTATGTATGTACACAAGAATTAAACCGATGTGAGGGAATAACTAGAAAATAATTTTTTTAAAAAAATATTAAAAAATATATTTTCTTATAATTTGTACTTAATATAATTTCTCGAATTAGCCGAGTATAATGTAAAAAAATGATTGATAAAAAAGGAAATAATAATGTCATAAGGAACACAAATATGAAAAATAGATGAGAGAGACTATTGATAAATTGACAAATGAAATTGAAAGTGAAATATAGAAAGAGAGAGAGAGAGAGAGAGACATGGGGCCTACAAATTGCAATTAGAAGTCATCGAAAGTGACAGCGTCCCGAAGAAGTAGCTAATTAGCTCACTCTCACGCTAAAAAATGTCCGGATGATGCGACACGTGGCACCATTCATTATGGTTGCACAAAACGTCGACCGACCAATTCCTTGCACGCTTCATGTTTTACGTTGAATCTTTGAAGCAGCTTATATTCATGTGTTTTACGAGCAATTCTAAGAAGAAAAATATAACGAATTAGTATTTATTATAATTCGATCAAAGAATCTTAAGATAATAAACTATCGATATCAATGCATCTAAATTAGTTCTATATTTCAAATCAACGTGTACTGTTAAAGGAAAAACTTCTGTCAATTGAACTCTTGAGACATCATCTTAAAGTCAGCAAATTGTCCTCTCCGTACTCCGTCGAACCCGATCGTCAATGGTTCCTCATCCCAAAAAAGGATTAAAAATCCAATTTTTGTTCCCAAGACGCCCCCTTCTCCTCCTATAAAACAACCAATTTCACTAGGCAGAGGGGACAAAATCCAAAAGCAAAGCCAAGTATTTGCTGTCGTTCGATCCTCGTTATAGTGGTAAGAGTCTTTGTTCTGGTTCTGGAGTCCGGGAAGCAAATCCCTGTTTGCGAATCCAATCTCGGCTTCTCCTTTGGTTCGCGGGCGTCCCTCCCTGTTCCAAGATCTCTTCTTTTCGGTGGAGTTACGCGTTCCGCGAGGCATTGTCGGCTCAGATTCGGCACTGTTGCTGTTGCGGAGATCCCCTCTCCGGGTTTGTATCCATCTATCGCCTGATTTGCACCGGAGGAGCCTGTTCATGGTATCAATGGTGTCAGATCGAATTCCATTAAAGGCCATGATCTGACCTTTATGAACGCCACCGCTCGTCGCCACCGAGTCTGCTTCCTGCAATCCTTTTCCGTGGTGTTCCTCTACTGGTTTTATGTCTTCTCCTGAACCAAATTCTGATCTTGGTCCGCTCGGTTCGAGATAAAGGAGGCATCTTGGCAGCTGAATCGTCACCGAAGCCGGTTCCTTGTTCGTCGAAGGAGATCGGTGGGATGTCGCCTGCCCGGAGCCTCCAAGGTTCGTGGTCCGACGGAGACGCGAGGCTCACGGCAGAGGAGAGGAAGCAGAGGCGGAAGCTGTCGAACCGGGAGTCGGCGAGGAGGTCGCGGATTAGGAAGCAGCGGCAACTGGAGGATCTGACGAACCAGGTGGCCCAGCTGAGCAAGGAGAAGGGGCGGATCGTGATGCAGGTGGACGAGCTGGCGCAGCACCAGCTGCGGCTGGAGACGGAGAACGACATGCTGAGGGTCCGGGTGGCGGAGCTGACGGAGCGGTTGCGGTCTCTGAGCTCGGTGCTCCGCCTCGTGGAGGAGCTCAGTGGGGTGGCCATGGACGTGCCGGAGATTCCGGACCCGCTTCTCAAGCCGTGGCAGCCTCCCGGCCCCGCCTTGCCCGTCATGGCCGCCGCGGCGGACATGTTTCAGCCCTGAGCTATTACGTGGATGTATCCGTTGCTTCATATGTCATGTGAAACATGTCTCCGTTGACTTGAGAACGTTGACATTCTTGACGTGTGTTAGATACCATTTGTAATGAAAGCTTCAGCTGTAGCAGTTATCGAAGTGGTGAAGCTTCAAGCTGTGTGGCAGTTATCGAAGTGGTATCATGTGTTGTACCCACCACTTTTGTACCGATATCATGTATTATATATTTTTCGGCAATACAACTAAGGATATTAAAATAAATAAGACTTTATCATATGTTATATTTTTCGTCAATACAACTGATGATATTAGAATAAATGAAACTTTTTGTTTCACTTGTATGACGACCAATCGTTATAACGATATTCCCCGAGTGGGAGAACACATCGTAAAGCACAAAACAAGATGAAGATGGAAAAAGATCGGAACGACATAAGAACCTTTTACAATAACCACAAAATGGAAATACCTTTTCATTTCATGAATAAGAGTGTGGTTACATCTACAGCCTCTTGACTCATTTGAATGAGAAGTTATATTACAATAAGCATCTGACACATCTGAGTCAGTCAGTGATTAAAAGGTCAAAAAAGAAGAGACTTTTCCATGGGTAAAACTACTTCTGAGGTTTCATTTCCTACCTACAGGAGTTGGAGAGATATGATAGTCTTATGCCCTTTCTTGGATGGCTCTGTAACACTGCAGACTGCACAATGGAAGCTTGGTCTTGGAATCTCGGTACTTGTATGCATTTGTACATGATGGACCGGCACATTTCTCTCGTGGAGGAGGGTAACTGATCCAGACCAACCCGGAAAATGTTAGAAACAATCGGGCAAGGAACGCATAAGGGCATCAGTTAGAAGTGAAAAGCGGATAACAAGATGAAAATTGAACATGTGACAAGCAAGCATCAACTGCCACCTACGAGAGATTTGCATGAGAGAATACAATTGCACCTGGATGGCTTAGATCCGAATAAACTTGGAAGGCCTACATCATCAGCAAAAGTAACAATCGTGCCGGTTGGACCGGTCACCCAACGTACGGTGCTGGGTTGCAATGTTATAGATTTGGCAGCCTTTGCCTGCTCAATACAACATACTCAGTGAGGGAAGTCAAAGGGGTTGAAAGACCTTCCGACAGATCTACAGCATCAACAAAAATGACATCAATACCTTTTCCTCGAGCTCTTTCTGCTTCTTTTCTTCCTTCTTGTCTTGTCCTAATATTTTCCTTATCGCTGCAGCCTACGTAAATTAAAACTTTGATTTACTAATTGAAAGGACCGCCAAACTAGATAACAACATATTAATAATTTATATACACAGACCTCAGATTCTCTAGTTTGCTTCTCTACTTGCATTTTCCGTCTCTGAGCAGCCTCCGCTTTCTTTGCTTGTATCTCAACTTCTGAGAGCTTCTCCTTTTGTTCTGACAATTACAAATTTTATTAAATTGCAATTAATTCTCTACAACAATGTGATCTAGAGTTTAGAGCTTTACTTCTCGAAGGTGCAGGGGGTAATCCGTTGGGGAACTCTATCAAACTCTCACCGTTGCCAGCTTTTCCAGATTGAAGTGCCCGTTGACGGGTAGTAAGACATTCCGTTCTAACATCGGCAGCTAACTCAAGAGTTGCATTCTGTTTCTTTCGCTTGGCATCAGGTGCAACATCAGAACCAAGTTCTTCCTCTTCAACATAATCCACATCATAAGATTCCCTTCCCTGTCTCAACTTCTTTCTCTTCTCCTTGCTTGATCGAGACAAAACATATTCATCATCTACTTCATATGCTGCATTTCTACTTCTAGACATTTTGGACATGTTGGGCCGCTTGAAGCCATTCTCACCACTATCATCAAGCTCAGCAATATGATCTGCAGCAACCTTAGAAGCCCTAAGTTTCTCAATGTGGCGAATATCATAATCTCCCTCAACATCATCAAAAACCCGCCGCTTGGGTACCCTCTTGCTTTTACGAGTAGGCTCGGAAGAAGGCTCTGCTTTCTTTCCAGATAAGCCTGCTTGAACTGCTTTATTGCTAAAATCATCCTTTGTCCCATTAGGAAAGTTTAGCACACTAGAATCCATCCATGGATCTCCTTGAAAGTTATTCCCTTTTTCTATCGGAGAATGACCATCAAAAACATTCTGCAACAAGAACAAAGAAATTAAATATTGAAATCTCTCCAATTTGTTCTCTATGTAAATAGGAAAGGAGAACAAATATACTCAAACCATGATAATTATATTATGCATAGAGGCTTTAAACATCAGAGCAACCAAAAGAAGCTGATTCAACCCATCATTACAAAGATACTTCTGAGCATCTTATTTATCGACGTGAAACCTCATGGTATCACAATCTTGTCTGATTAAGAATCATGAACTTGATGATAGATTAGTCAGACAAAGAAATCCACTAAGAGATCACCATAAATTTTAAAACATGATTTTTTTTACCTTGTAAACATGAACTAAAAGTTAAATTGTGGGCAAGGTCATACTTGGAACTACACATTTCACTTGGTACCATAATTTTGCATTTTCAACTGCATAGTACCTGTGAATTAAGTTTTAGACGGTGCCGAGGGGCCTCTAGAAACTGCAGGGGTTTTGCAAGAGAAGATTTATCACTGCTTGACTGCAGATCAGACTTTGCATGTATTGTGCGTGTGACTCCGCCAACTTTGAGCTTCACCTTTCTCAGCTTGCTCTCAGATGTTATGTGATGAGCTTCTCCTAGATGATCCATACCACAGTCCTCCCCTCTCTTTTCCAGACCAGTATCCGGGGAACCTGATTGCATCACAATTGCTTCATTAACTTTGTGAGTGCTTTTCCACTTAGCTGGGGCAAGGATACCCTCGCCGCAATATTTCAAATCCAAAAGATGGCCACCTCTCGAGGTACCGCCACCAGAGTACCCACCTAATTCCTGAAGTGCCTTGTCATCTTTTGTGACCTTCCTTGAAGGTGCTAAATTGATAGCTAAACTTCTCGGAGAAGGACCATTGAGATAAACTTCTTTCCTTCGGAAGAAGGTGTCACTGCCTCCATCATCATCAGTTGAGAAATTTCTTGAATTGCTTAACGATGGAGCAGAGAGTAGAGGTGATATATTACAAGCGTCAAAAGTCAACTGGGCATTTGGCCGTGGACGCCGTGCACTTCTCCGCTTCTTCACCACAGTATCTAATCCAATGAATCTAGGACAACCAAATCCCTCCATTAGAAAGAACGCACCTTAGAGGATCAAAGTATCTCACACTCCCTTCCTTCTTCCTATCTGGATGTCAGCAGTGCATCAAAAAGCAGAGCTATATCAGTTGCGAAAACAATTCCTGCATAAAGGAGTAGCTTTGCAAGCGCTAAAGAAGTCATAAGAAGCCAAGGGATCCGCAAGCAACAAAATCGATAATCCACAACACCAATGAAAGGGCTAATACCCAGAGACACGAAAGAAAGGACACGAGCAGTGCTCGGAAGCTAAAATTACATGTTGATCAAGATCAAAACCAAGCATAAGCAAACCGATTGCATGCAAGACAATGGCATACCAAGTCGATGAACTTTGTTGCCAAGACCATCAAACCCAAAGATCGAGCAATAGAACAACAGTTCGTGTAGCACATTGCAACACCAAACACGAAGGGAAAGCGCCCGTACGCAAATTTCCCACAGGAACCGAAGGAAACCCCAGACGACACGAATCAAACCCAAGAAGAACCATCTTTCAGTAACCCGACTCAGACACACGGAATACAACACAAGGACCTCAATCTATAGAAACAGAGAGAAAGAGAGTCCCTTGCCTCCGAGGCGAAAGCAGAAACTATAAATCCAAATCCGCCGCACCGCAGAGGAAGACGAGCGGGAGGGTACAGGGAAGAAGCAGAGCGAGGATGGGAGCAAGAAGGGACGATCGTGGAGAAGAGATAGGGTTAGGGTTGGGTTCTCCGAAATAGAGGAGACGGCGTCGGACGACGCCTTTGCCCGGGTTCCCCTCTTCCCCAAAACCCGGACTTTTGGGTCGATACAGGCATGATGCTGCAGCTGCTGATGTGTTGTTTCCGCCATATATGCTGTCTTCTTTGCTCCGTCTCTCTCTCTCTCTCTCTCTCTCTCTATGGTAGAGTTTAGTGCTATGTTGGAGCTTGGGATTCTCTCTGTGCAAAGCTCGTAGAGCAGGTGACCTGGAAAGCAGGAGGAGCTTCCTGTCGCATCACATGGCAGCACGAACGGTGGATTTCACGTGAGTAGATAGAAACGGGGAATCTCTGCCTTTCAATTTATATATTACTAAAAAATAATATTCTTATGTTATTTTTTAGTATTTTATCAGAAAACCTATAATATTATTTTTTTACCGAATGAATATTCATTTTTACCTGAGGATTTTTTTTTCCAACTGAGACTAAAATATTCTCAGTCTTTTACTAAAATGATTTGATTACATAATTTTTTTATATTAATCATCTTACAATCATTAGGCTATGATTTGAAGATGACTAGTATTTTTTTTTTAAATTATGATAATTAGTTATCAAAATTAAGATTCTTTTTAATAACATATATGATCAATTTATTAGGGTTTTTTTGTGATAAAATAACCATTATTTTTAATTTTCGATTTTTGATTTAGACAAAAAAAATTAATTGATTTGATTCTTTAGCTAAACGTGGCCACCTACCCAGCCTTGTTGTAATACGTGTCATCCGATGACAGGTCCACATATTTAAATAGAGCGGAAGAGGAGTCTGCGTGAACCAAATGGAGTAGCGGAGTAGCCCACGTCACCCTGAAAATTTTCAGGGCGGAAGACAGGTGGTCTACATGAACTGACTTGGAGTATCGGAGAAGCCCACGTCACCCTGAAAATATTCAGGGCGGAAGACAGGTCTACGTATACATCACAGCGTAGAGAGAGAGAGAGACAGAGAGATTGACGATCATTATCATCGATGTATGAGGCATTAGATCTGATGTTTCTGTAACGCAACATGTGGCGTTGAGGAGGCAGCCGAGTTCCTCGCTGGAACGAGGAAGCAAGAAACAAGAAGCCAGCAATTTCGCCATGAACACTGTTGGTGAACGCAGAATGATGAGAAGAAAAGCTTCATCTTGTTGGTTCAAACTCCGAGGTTTCCCCCATGTCTCCGTATACAAGGAAGCGATAACCAGATTAATCGAGGAGGAGGAAGTAGGTTTGATGAGGTCGACATGTTCAGAGCAAAGAAGAGAAGGCCAGGCAATTGCTAGCCAACTTGGTGAGTCGGTCGTCGACGGCCGCCATCGGTGAGGTTATGGAATCCTCCGTGAACGCGTCCTCGCACGTCGAGAAGTCGGAGATGAGGCCGCTGAGCATGCTGTCCAGCGTGCCCTTGTCGTGAGACGCCATCGCGTCCGCGGCGGTGTCGAGGCTGTCGAACACATCGTCGTACATGTCGCTGCACACCTGGAGGCTGCTCGCCAACTTGGAGCTCGCCCCGGGGTGGCTGACGAGCGCGGACACCTGGGACTGCGCGATCTGCGCCTTCTCCCGGCACGCCTTCATGTGCAGCTTCAGCATCACGGCGGCGTCGACGGGCCCGACTAGGGCCGGGAAAGACTGGATCGTCGAGCTGCACACGTCGGGGTAGTCGGTCTTGCTGCACAACGCGCTGACGGCGTCGCGGATGGGGAGCTGGGTGGACGGCGAGGAGTAGCCCGAGGGGGACGTGGAGCCCAGAGAACCGGCTGGCGTCGGCTGCTGGGATGAGATGCGCTGATACCTGACTGGCGGCGGCGGGGACGAGGTGGGCGGCTGATAACTGACTGGCGTCGGCGGTGGCGGGGACGAGGTGGGCGGCTGATAACTGACTGGCGTCGGCGGTGGCGGGGACGAGGAGGGCACATATTTGGCTGGCGAAAGCGGCGATGGCGGTGGGGACGAGGAAGGCTGATAACTAGCTGGCGTCGGCGACGGCCGGGAGGACGAACCGTAATTTACGACGAAGGCCGGCGGCGAGGTTGTGGCATGATAGATCGAGTTGGAGGAATTGCGAGGGACGCAGACAGCCGTCGCGGGGACGAGCACGCACGAAAAGAGGGCGACAAGGAGGAGATGATGGGTTTCCGGCCTCATGGTGACAGTGGCGAGAACGGAGGCCAGAAGGTGGCGGAGGAAGAACCGGAGAAGGGGTGGTATGGGCTGTTAGGTTGTGGACAGCTTCCGAGAGATGCCTTCTTGCTTCCCATATAAATAGCGTTGGCCCGTGAATTGTAGCCGTAGGTTAAATAACAGAACCTTGAAATGGACTCCTCCCTCCTCTCCTGCTCTTAATTAGGCTTTTCTTTGTTTGGATCAACGAATGGACAGGAAAAATTCACCAAATTACGAGCATCACAAATTAAGAATTTTAGTAACCAATTTTCCATAATTAAATACTCTTTTTCTTTTACTTTATATTGTGAGATAAAAATAAAAGAAAAAAAATTCAAAAAGAGACAAACAATATGCATTAATGTGTGCCAGTAGATATGATTCTAATTCCGGATCTAACCATGGTTTGCAGTACCGGTCCGTCAGACTTTCGGTACGCGGACTATATGTTACCGTTCCGATACTGTAGCAGTGTAGCACTGCTACAATGCTCGGCACGCCTGAATATATCGTTCGGTACACCTGGGTGTACCGAGCGGTATACCGTACCGTACCGGTACCGAGCCCAGGTCGAAACTCCGGTACGATACAGTATTACGAACCTTGGATCTAACGATATCGGTTCGAAGTTAATCGAACCACATCCGAACGGTTTGAGATCCGATTTCGATTCTATTATATATATATATATATATCATATAATAAATTTAAAAATAATATAAAAATATATTTTATATTTGCTCATTTTCCGTTTGGAAAATGTTTATTTTTCGTGATAATGCATTTTAATAAACAATTTTGTTCATCTCACAACATGCTTTGTTTTCTCTTTAAATAAGGAATGACTTCCCCAACTCGAATCTGTGTATTGAGTGTAACATCAATTACATCACAGTCTTGTCTGGCCCTTGACATGAAACTTCCCATTATCCAATACCTCAACTTGCAATTTGATGGCCAACCACTGATTTCTTTGTGTGTTTTTGAGGTAGCATGTCACGACTTTTTCTGCACAGTGAATTCCAAAGGCGGCACAAGCAGATGAAGAAGCAGAGAAAGGGGTCGACGAGGCTGGTAATTTGGAGTGAGGAGGAGAGTCAAACATGCAAATGTAAAAGCTTTTGGTTTTTTGGGGGTTCTTTCGAGGGGAAAAATTGTGGCTTTGGAGCTACTCACCCACTCGCAACAGCGGCAAACTCATAGGATATAGGAAGAGTTTTGGTTAAAGAAAGGCAGGGAGAGGCCCACAAGGGGATAGAGATCACAGGGAGAAAGCAGAGGCAAAGGGGGCCAAACAGAGAGAAAAAGGAGGCATCTTTGATCCAAAAAAGGAGACATCTTTGAGGCAGAGTACCCACTCTCCACCGCTCGAGGATTCAAGAGGCAGCTGACGAACCCTCTCCGCCTCCTCCTCTTCCCATCGCTGCCACCGTTGCTGGTTATTTTCCCCTTGCGAAGCGAAAAGGAGCCGCCTTTGGGGGAGGGGGCATGGAAACCCCAGCAGAAGAGCTGCTGAAGAAGATCCAGGAGCTGGAGGTGGGGCAAGCCCGCCTGAAGCTGGAGATGTCGAGGCTGATGCCCGCGGATGAGGGCGGCGCGCGTCGATCGGACCGCGGTCGGTCCCACTCGGTGTCGCCGCAGAGGACGGCGCCGCCGCCGCAGAGGAGGAATAGCGGAGGCCTCGATGGGGCTCCGTCGTCCTGGGGAAGGGGCTCAAGCTCCTTCGGACACTCCTCGAGGCTGCAGCGGGAGAGCCGGGTAACCACCGGCTCTGCCGATCGCGCGGCTGGTATCGGTCTCTCGGAGCGACAGTCCCTGAACATTTTGCAATCTATGGGGCAGTCGGTCCACATATTCGATCTCGAGGGCAGGATTATTTATTGGTCAGTTGCTCATGCTTGCTTTTCTCTGTTCTTCAAGGACCTTTTCCTGCTCTTTATTATCAGATGGTTCTGTTTTCTTTTGGGATCCTTTGGTCAATCAGGTCTCGTATTATTTGTGTTGCTGGCGGTTGATCACTCCGGTTAAGTGTCTTATGATCCATGATATCTTACCGAGTTGCATGATAGCTGTTCGATACATTGGTAATGGGCGTGATTTGATGGTTCAGAGCATTGCCTTATTCTGGTTGAGCTTATGTTGAATTTGATGCTTGGTGAATGCTTAAGTAGAACCCTGCAAGCATGTCTTATAGTTGGATAAGGTCGTCTTCATGATCCACAAGTGTTTTGGTTTTGGAATGGTAAAAGCAATGAATGGATATGACAAACTGAAAGCTCTGGTGAGAAGGACCATGCACAATCTTCAAATGGTATACTGTGCTTAGTTATCAAGCATTAGCATCCATTTTTTCTAAGGGTGTTTGGCAAGTCATCCGAAGTAATCTTCTTTAAGATCACTTGCTTTACCATGATCAAACTTATTGTCTCTGTACAATGATTGTGGTAGCCTGTGTCCTAATTACTGGTCAGCAAACGTCAGCAGCGATATAGGTTTTACGTTTGCCTTTTCTGTTTCTTCTTCTCTTAGTTTTCTTTAATTTTTTAACTTTCATTTTCTCTCTGAATTTCGATCAACTGAACCAATCTTAACAAAGACTGATCCGAAGATTCATTTCTGGTCTTTGAATCAATTACACTACTCCTGGAATCTTGTTTTCAGGGAATACGATTTTCTCACCCTGGCCTCTTCTCATGAAACCGCCAAACTGAAGAACTTGACGATAGTCCCTCTGCTTTAAATATGTTTATTTTGTATTGCATAAAAGCACTCGAAGGTGCCCATTCTTTAGTGCGTCAGTACATCAGTTGAATGGGTTGTGTCCGTGGACACAACCTATTTCATTGACATTCCTTGTTGAATTTATGCAATCTGCACTGGTGAAGCTGCATTTCATAAAATAAAGGCATGTAGTTAATTTTGTTGAAATGTGTGCAGCAGTTATAACAGTACATTTAAGAGCAGAATGCTTGATTC